TCCGGATTTCGATCGCTTTTTTTTCGCTCGCTTTGTTCAATTCGACCGCGCAATTTTCGCTTTTTTTTCGACCGCGCAAATCCGGAAGTATCCGCTCGCGCAATCGCTCGCTCGCTCGCCTGACAGCGCAACCGCCCGCATTTACAGTTCATTACCTACTGTTTCATGTACAAGTGTGTCATTTTTGTTTTTATGATGTTAATCAAAAATTTATAGAACGACCGTTGAAAAAATACGGTGGATCACACGGCCATATAAAATTGGTAATAATACATAAGCGTAGTAATAATGTCCACCATAAACAAGATCGAACCAAAGATGTGAAATCAAATACGACACTGACACAGACACAAATTTATTTGGCAAATAGGGGGGCACACCACAAGACCATCGTACACAAAAGTGAGACAATGCATAACAGACTGATAAGATGGTCCCTGGTGCCGCCCCCAAAATGTAGAACAAAGCAGGTGTAAACTAGCTGGCTTACAGTTTCTAAACTAAAATACAAACTAGAATAAGACTGAAAACATGTTGGTTGGTGCAGCATAGCTGCATGATGTTAGTATGGAATGGCAGATTGCAGCATGACTGCAACTGTAAAGTATAGGCAGCGAGTGCTGCGGCTACACCGTGGTTATGCAGCGGGGGCTGCATGAAGTTAAGAGGTTATGGGTAGAGGCAGCGGGGGCTGCAACTACTGAGTTTAGACATTGACGCAGCGAGGGCTGCCTGTGAAGTCGTTAATGAGGTATTAGTAATTACAATAATAAAATTAACAATAATAATAAAACCCACGCAAAATATACCTAAGAAAATATGAATGATCTTGGGGGAATATGAGCTAATCCCATAAGCGAAGTCCCCCGAATTGGTGTTAATGTCAGCCTAATGGGGGAGAATGGGGATGGTGGCGGGTGAATAAAACGAGAATAGCAGAAGCTCCGTAACACTTTCAGGCTACTTCCAATATGGCGCCAGAAACAAACTGATTGTGATGTTGAGCCACGTGAGAAAGTGCGAGATCTATGTAAATATCACGCGAGAGAGCATGAGATTTGCATCATGAACATGGTTTAATATTACACATTAAACCTGTATTTATGACACAAACACAAGAGCATGTACATGAACCAATAATTTATTTGGCAAATAGGGGGGCACACCACAAGACCATCGTACACAAAAGTGAGACAATGCATAACAGACTGATAAGATGGTCCCTGGTGCCGCCCCCAAAATGTAGAACAAAGCAGGTGTAAACTAGCTGGCTTACAGTTTCTAAACTAAAATACAAACTAGAATAAGACTGAAAACATGTTGGTTGGTGCAGCATAGCTGCATGATGTTAGTATGGAATGGCAGATTGCAGCATGACTGCAACTGTAAAGTATAGGCAGCGAGTGCTGCGGCTACACCATCATGGTTATGCAGCGGGGGCTGCATGAAGTTAAGAGGTTATGGGTAGAGGCAGCGGGGGCTGCAACTACTGAGTTTAGACATTGACGCAGCGAGGGCTGCCTGTGAAGTCGTTAATGAGGTATTAGTAATTACAATAATAAAATTAACAATAATAATAAAACCCACGCAAAATATACCTAAGAAAATATGAATGATCTTGGGGGAATATGAGCTAATCCCATAAGCGAAGTCCCCGAAATGATGCAATTGTTTCAATTGCAGAATAACCCCCAAGATATAAAGGATGGTTGGAAAACATGAAAATGTAAACATTACTAGAAACTCCCTGTGAATTACAATGTATTAAACTTTGTTAACTAATGCTGACTGGGCTGCAAATAAGGACTTGTCAGAAACATGAATATAACGATTGTAACTGTCAGATGACCAGCGTCCCAAAGATTTAATTAAGTAGTCTTGAACACCAACATGTGCTGCTGTGGTGGCAGCCCCAATTCGAAAGGAATGACCAGAATATTTCCTGGCATCGACTCCAATAATGTTAAGAAGGGAGCGAAGGTAATGTAAGAAACGCGAGCGTGACAATGGTAGGCCATCTCTAAAAATAAATAGGGGATCGCATGGTTTAACCAAAGGATTCCTGTGACGTCGTAAGTTGATATAAACCTGTAAAGCCTTGACTGGGCAGAGGCTATCATTACTACAGAGAGTGAGTGTAGTTCTCCTTCGGAACGGATCAGTCTTGGTCTTTTTCAAAGTTAAGTAGACCCGACTTGTATCCTTGAATTTTACATCCTCTACACATAAATGCACCTGGTGATCAAATTGAGTTGTGTCTATAGCAAACTCCCCACACCTGAGAAATCCAAAAAAAGCTACTAAAATGACTGCTTCTAATAAAACATCTGTGTAGGGGGTGAAAACTCCTTTCTTTAAAGCTTTGATCAATTGTGCCACAATGTTAGCTGTTAATGGAAGTCTCTCTCTACGTGGTTTTCCTTGCACACGCTTAATACTTTTAATTAGCAACTTTAATCTATCTAAAGGGCCGCCATGAAATGATCTTAAAGGGTTAGGAAACCCTGCCTCAATATATTTAAATCTGATACCAGATAAATACAACTCAATAGTAGCAGCACTCAAATGCAAGTGTTCATAACAATAAGTGATAAAAAGTAAAAGTAAATTTTCAGAAATTGATGGCAGAAAAGGACTGGAAACAGGAACATTATTCATGGTTAAAAATCTGATAAACTGTGCATGACCACAATTGTACGCCTGCCTTGTTTTACTTGTTATTGCGAAACTCCATAAATGGTTGAATTGCTCATCTAAATTTGGGTTATTCTGTAAAACGATGGGCACGGAGTCTTGTGCTGTTGTGCTGCTGGTGCCAAGAGGCGAAATCTCTGAAATTGAAAGCGAGATAGTGAGTCTGCAATACTATTGTGAGTACCTGGGAGATGGTGGGCTAAGAAGACAAAGTTATATTGCATAGCCAATAAAGTTAGCCGTCTCATCAGCTTATTAATTATGCAACAGTGACTGGAAGCTCTTCCCTTTCTAATAATATGCACTGTTGCAAGATTGTCACAATTGAAACTGATTCTGTGCTGTGACCACTGTGTACCCCAAAGCATTGCTGCCACTACAATGGGATACAGCTCAAGCAAAGCCATGGATAAGTCATTATTATGTTGTGAATCTAACTCAACTGGCCACTTATCACAGAACCAGCTCCCTTTAAAATATCCCCCAAAGCCCACAGTGGATGAAGCATCTGTAAAGATATCAATGTCTGAGGCAAGTGTCACTGTACTGTGTAGAAAGAAATGGGCTCCATTCCAAGCTGCTAAGAAATGTTCCCACATAGCCAATTCCCTACGACAATCTAAATTGAGAGAAATATGGTGATGTAATTTAGAAACCGATGCTGCTAACTGTAATAAATGTGAAAGAAATGATCTCCCTGGTATGATTACTCTCGTTGCAAAATTAAGGTGCCCCAATAATGATAACAATTGGCGCTTTGTAACTGTATTCTTAGATGTAACATGTAACCTCAGCAAACTTGGTCAATAGTCGTGCTTTTTTATCAGCAGGTAAGAAAGCAGTCATGTCTTTAGAACTAAGCAAAATACCAAGATATTCAAGTTCCTGGGCTGGGCCTAGGGTTTTATGCTTAGCCAAGGGTATCCTAAGTAAATTAAAAATCATAGTCATAACTGCCATGGAACGCATAGCACTTTCTGCATGAACATCTATAGTTAGGAAGTCATCTAATAAATGCAGAATATACCTAATACCATATTTAAACTGAGCAATCCAACAGATCGCTGTGGACAGCATATCAAAAATTTTTGGACTGGATCTGCTGCCAAAAACCAGTCTAACGAAGAAATAGTAGTTACCCTGCCATTTAACACCATGCAGTTTCCAAATGGATGGATGCAAAGGAATGATTTTAAAAGCATCGGTGATGTCAAATTTGCACATGTGGGCAGTATTACCAACACGCTTTAACTCTTTGATTGCGTCATCCACTGTAGAATAAGATAACGAATATTTGTCTTTGTTAATAAGCTCATTGAGGCTAGGCACATGTGGCTTATCATGAGGGGAAGACAAGTCCACTATTAGCCTTTTCTTGCCTGAATATTTACCCACTGCTAACCCCAATGGGCTAATGTGATAAACATCAAAAGGGGGGAACTGAAAGGGCCAATAAGGTAACCCTTGTCAATTTCAGCTTGAATAAGCTTGCTAATTACTGAGGGATTCTGTCTGGCAGTCAAATTATTAGGACACTCAAAAACAGATGTTGGGACAGCGTCAATGCCTGTAAGAAAACCCTCTCTAAGGCCTGTACATAATTCAGAAACAAAAATTTTATCAGGGTGTGCAGCTAAAGCTGTTTCTAAAAAGTCAATGTTAATTGGTGTGCTAGCTTGATGTGAGAGTCACTTTGAATCTTGAGACTTGTTAGGTGCTGAAGATTTAGTACATTTCCATACTGGATGATTCCCTTTACATGTTGAGCACAAATGTAGCAACGGACAAACCACTCTGAGACATCCTTTATCGGTATTGAAATTATTGCATATTTCTTTTCCATTAAAGAATAACCTGGGTCTCCCTCTGATGTCATTGGTATTGGACTGTTGCTGCATATCACGACCCCGTTGTGATACAAATTGCCTGCGTGGGCAAAAATCATAAGAATGCAGAGTACTACTGCAAATAGCACATGTTGCTGCTTTACGGCCTGCAGTAACTCTGATAAAAATGTCATTGTCTCTAACTGACCAGTCAACCTTGACATTTTTCTGTTGGAGGTATGCTGCTGCCTTAGTTGTAAATTGGACATGGTAGTCATAAAATAGTGTACCCCCAAAGCTGTTAGCAATATCAATGATGTCTGATTCGTAGAGGTCCAACTCTTCACGTCTGCCAGGATATACCTCGCACATGATAGCTTTATATCTTCCAAAGGCAACTAAAAATTCGTTCAAAGTCAATGCTTTGTTTAAGCGTGCATCAGGATTGCCCTTAATTTTAATCTCATTACCCGCTAAGTCCATAATAGAACGACTTTCGTTAATTTCATGATCGGGGATTAACCACGCTGCTAAGTTAATGAATTTACCTTCCAAGATATTCTTTTTCAATGCTGGTGACACAGAAACTATCTTTGGCAAGTCATGTGATGCAACACCAAACTTCCTTCGTTCGTTAGTATTGCTATTGTCATTCCCATATAAGGATAAAACTTGAGCAGTGGCTGGTCGGTTGGTGTGCGATATGGGTCCAGGAGAATGCGACGACGCCATATTGTTAGAGTCTCGTCCGCAAAAAGTTTCAGTAAGATGTAAAACAGTTTGTCGCAAGTCCTCAATTTCTCGGCGAATAGTAGCCATATTATTGCCGTCACGATCCGTATGATTATTGCCAGATGACTCCCCACTCGGTGGTGACAGTAGGGGCGGGGTATTATTGTTGGCTGTGCCGACTGTGGTAGTAGCCGCGGTTTCAACATGATCATCGTCTACTCGGTTCAGTTCATAGACTTGGATTAAACTTTTTCTATTCATGCTCGGTGGCAGTTTCATTCCAAGTTGCCGCAACTTTTCGCGTAACACTGGTGTAGTCCAATTAACAGGGTTTTCGGGATCCAAAGTTGTTGTTCGTCGAGTTTTGCGTCCGGCAGTACCTTGGGTTGAACTCGTCGTAGGAATTTCTACCTCTTCTAGTGATACGGGATTGCTACCAACTTTGCTCGCCGTATCTGTGACTTCACGTCGCTTTCTGCCTCTACGGCGTGTAACCATACTGTGACTGTCCATTTCACGATGAATTACTACTTCAGTTGCGGAAATTGAAGATGTGAGTGAATAAAACGAGAATAGCAGAAGCTCCGTAACACTTTCAGGCTACTTCCAATATGGCGCCAGAAACAAACTGATTGTGATGTTGAGCCACGCGAGAAAGTGTGAGATCTATGTAAATATCACGCGAGAGAGCATGAGATTTGCGTCATAAACATGGTTTAATATTACACATTAAACCTGTAATAATAAATTAACTTTACTAGTATTAATTGTAAGTTGATGCAATTGTAAGATTTAGATTATTGATACCTAAATTAAAAAGTACAGGCTAATAACACAACCATGTATTCAGATTAGTTTTGGGTAATTTGCATAATAATTAGCTGATTTTAGCTGTTCATGACTGTTCCACTGATATCTGAAAAACCACTCATTGGATTTGATGAAACTTGGTGCATAGATGCTCTGAGCCAATGCGCAGATTTGATTAGGTTTTGGTAAAAATCCATGCATATTAATTACCTAATTTGCATGATAATTAGCTGATTCTTAGCTGTTCCATGACTGTTCCACTGATATCTAAAGAACCACTCATTGGATTTTGATGAAACTTGGCACACAGATGCTCCAAACTAATGCGCAGATTTGATTAGTTTTGGGTAAAAATCTGTGCAATATTAATTACCTAATTTGCATAATGATTAATCAATTTTCGGCTTTTCCACTGATATCTCAAGTACTAATCATCACATTTCAATAAAACTTGGTACATAGATGTCATAGGACACTGCACAAACCTGATAGTTTTTAGGATAATATCAGTATATATTAATTAGCTAATTTGCTTAATTAATTAATTTTCAGCTTTTGATATTTCAAGTAGTAATCATCACATTTCAATGACACTTGGTACATAGATGTCATAGGACACTGCACAGACCTGATAGTTTTTAGGGTAATATGAGTACATATTAATTACCTAATTTGCATAATAATTTAATTTTCAGCTTTTGATATTTCAAGTAGTAATCATCACATTTCAATGACACTTGGTACATAGATGTCATAGGACACTGCACAGACCTGATAGTTTTCAGAGTAATAAGAGTACATATTAATTACCTAATTAGCATAATTAATTAATTTTCAGCTTTTGATATTTCAAGTAGTAATCATCACATTTCAATGAAATTTGGTACATAGATGTCATAGGACACTGCACAGACCTGATAGTTTAGGGTATATCAGTATATATTAATTAGCTAATTTGCATAATTAGTTAATTTTCAGCTTTCGATATTTCAAGTAGTAATCATCACATTTCAATGACACTTGGTACATAGATGTCATAGGACACTGCACAAACCTGATAGTTTTTAGGGTAATATGATTACATATTAATTATCTAATTTGCATAATTAATTAATTTTCAGCTTTTGAAATATCAAGTAGTAATCATCATATTTCAATGAGACTTGCTACATAGATCTTCTAGGATTATGCAGAGACCTAATTAGTTTTAATTGGATATTAATTACCTAATTTGCATAATGTTCCACTGATATATAAAGAACCACAAATTGGATTTTAATGAAACTTTTAAAGAGAACTATGCAGAAACCCAATTAGTTTTTGGTAAATATTTATGCCTATTAATCACCTAATTAACATAATTAATTAACACTGATATCTCAATTACTGATCATCACATTTGAATAAAATTTGGTACATAAATGCTCTAGGACAATAGACAGGCCTGATTAATTTTGGGTTTATGACACAAACACAAGAGCATGTACATGAACCAATAATTTATTTGGCAAATAGGGGGGCACACCACAAGACCATCGTACACAAAAGTGAGACAATGCATAACAGACTGATAAGATGGTCCCTGGTGCCGCCCCCAAAATGTAGAACAAAGCAGGTGTAAACTAGCTGGCTTACAGTTTCTAAACTAAAATACAAACTAGAATAAGACTGAAAACATGTTGGTTGGTGCAGCATAGCTGCATGATGTTAGTATGGAATGGCAGATTGCAGCATGACTGCAACTGTAAAGTATAGGCAGCGAGTGCTGCGGCTACACCGTGGTTATGCAGCGGGGGCTGCATGAAGTTAAGAGGTTATGGGTAGAGGCAGCGGGGGCTGCAACTACTGAGTTTAGACATTGACGCAGCGAGGGCTGCCTGTGAAGTCGTTAATGAGGTATTAGTAATTACAATAATAAAATTAACACTAATAATAAAACCCACGCAAAATATACCTAAGAAAATATGAATGATCTTGGGGGAATATGAGCTAATCCCATAAGCGAAGTCCCCGAAATGATGCAATTGTTTCAATTGCAGAATAACCCCCAAGATATAAAGGATGGTAGGAAAACATGAAAATGTAAACATAACTAGAAACTCGGTGAATTACAATGTATTAAACTTTGTTAACTAATGCTGACTGGGCTGCAAATAAGGACTTGTCAGAAACATGAATATAACGATTGTAACTGTCAGATGACCAGCGTCCCAAAGATTTAATTAAGTGGT